CCCTCCGCGCGCGCGCGGTAACCGAGACGGCGGTTCGGCGCCTCCGCCGGAAGGGGCGGGGCGGGTTGCCATGGAGACGCGGCGGCGGGGGGCGTCATGGCGGGCGGATGGTGGTCGCTGTACCGCCGCGGCGCCTCCCGCTCCCGCAGGCTGGCGGCGGCGGGGCAGCCGGCCCGGGTGACCGGAGATGGAGGCAGCCGGTGCCCGCCCCGCCCCACCCCGCCCCGGTGACGGGCGGCCGGGTGAACGTGAGGCAGCAGCGCGGCCTGGCGGCGGGAAGGCTCCCCGCGGGCTGGGCTGTGAGGGGGAGGCCTTGCCCTTAGCGCCCTCCCGGCCTGGGGCCTGCTCCGGGCGTGGCCTGGCTGCTCCGCCTTTTATGTTACAATATTTGATTATTAGTTTCTCTCTTTTTGTTTTCTTCTTATTGAGAATCTCTGATTTGCAGGCAGACTGTTATGCCCAACAAAAAAAAAAAAAAAAAGCCCCAAAACCAAAAAGAACTGGAAGATAAATTTCAGTAAGAAGTCAGAGAAACCGACCAAATTCAGTTAGAACTGAAATTAATAAAGGAGTTCCACAGGGAGAAGGCTGCTATGGAGATAGAGCTGGAAGATGTAAGTTTGTCATACTTTAGTGTTTGCGATATTTAATTAAAAAGCAACTTTTTTGTCTGCGCGGCAGCATAGAGGTTTGGGAGTGGAAAAGAACAGACACGGCCTGTCTGCTGGATTGTTTTCTCTACGGTTTACAGACTGAGGAAAAACACTAGGTTGATGAAATGCAAATTCTGAAGCCAGATCTCACTTCAGTAATGGTCCAGTGCTGTAGAGTTCTTTTTGGTTTTTTATACAATAAAATGGATTCATACAAACGTGGACTAGAGCTGCTAGTACACACTTTAAAGATTCGCATGGAAGAGCTAGCAATTGACTTGACTATAAGCAGTATAAATGACTGTTTTCTCAGTTGTCAGCTCAGTTAGGATGTGAATGCTGGTGTTGTATCATCTTTTGAACCACGTAAGCCATGTAGAATATAAAACTAGGGATGGTCATTAAGCATTTATACAGCACATGACCTATTTTGTTAAGGTTATTATAGCGGAAATAAGAAATGTGTAATTAAATGATTCATCCATCAGATTTTATGGTTCTAATTTGTGCATGAATTTCACTTCTTTCATCAGTATTTGCCAACATGCAAGAACACACTAAAGCTGTAGAGTATGAAAGCTTGAAGAATGGAATACAAACACTTCATTTTAAGTTGACATATGATTAAACCCAGATTTTTAAAAAAACTTGTTTCTTTCTCCTCATTCTCTTTCAGTTGAAATGATTTTGCCACAAAATGCAGAATTCCATAGTGAACTGAACTCACATTCAATTCATAGTGCTGATTCCAGATACTGAACCGCCACAGCTCAGATGCCCTGGCATTTTTCGCTTGCTGTTTGTTTTAGAAAACAAGTTTGGTGTGGAATTAGAAAGCTGGCTGAGCGTAAATCACCACTAGATGAGGATTACTTTGCTCTTGTTTCTTCCTCACAGGAAACACAACAGAATTTTGGCTACTTCAGCTCCAGCTCCTGACGATATTAAAGAAGAAAGCAAAATTGGGTAAGATGCTAAATTATACCACACTATCTAACATCTCCTCAGTCCTGGTTATATATAAATGGATGCAATTGTCTCTCTGTTGTCTCTCCCACTTTAGAATACTTTGGTTTGTCTGAAGTATTCTGAATACAGAAACACTGTGTTAGCGTTTCTATACACAAATAAATGTATGTGTGGCAAGAGAGAGGAATTTCTTTATTTATTTTGAGATTTCTGGTCATATTAATCTTTTAGCAGCAGGCATTTAGACTCGGCTCTCATAAAAAAAAATTGATCTCATGCCTCCTTAGTATCTCCTCTTTCAGGAGGATTCTCTTGTGAAAGGCCATGATTATACAAGGTAGATGCACTTTCAGCCAACACAGGGAGTTTTGATTAAAAGGCAAAATCTATTAATCTGAGTTTGTGATCAGTGTAGAACCGCTTAGAGAGAATGGGCCAGGAGGAAGATGGATATGCCTGATTTTCAGATACAGACTCGGATACAACTATATAGCTAATTATAATATTCCAAGGCAAGCAGTATCAATTTACCCTGGAGGAATAAGTAGGGAGAGGTTCTGGCATGCCATCACAGAGTGTCATGTCAGACACGAGGCATTCAAGCACACAAAAGAAAATGTAATACTCAGGCATCAAATGATCAGATAAAGCTCATAAGCAGAAGCCCTGGAGGGATTTATATAGAAAGATGAGAGACAGCTCCTTTGGAGAGGCAGACTGCCACTCCGGAAACAGGCATGGAAGTGGGTTGTAGCCTTTTTCTGCACAGAGAAGGAAAACAAGCAGAAGTGGAAGTCACAGGGCCCATTTCTCAAAGGTGGTTGAACTCTTTTAACATAATTTTTGGACTTAAGATTCTCAAATGGCTTTGAGAATCTAGACTGTAGTGCCTTCTAGGCAAGAAACGATTTTTAATAGGAGACAAAGGGTGGACAAAGGGCATTTTAATAGACCCTAAAGAAATTTATTATGAAATACTTTAGATTATAGTTTTGTATAATATAAAAGATAAATTCTTTAGCTTAATCTTTTATACTGAATGTTGAAATAAAAAGAATAAACAGGTGGGTAGAAAGTAACAGCAGTGAGATGAGACAGGTACATCATGCTCAGTCAGCATCTGCAGCTTGATCTAGAAAGGCATTTCATTAGCTAAGAAGCACAGATACAAAATTTGCATTTCTAGTACAATTCTTTAAAACCATCTGTTTAAAAAAATGCTGTTGGAAATGCAGATAATCAGAAAACATGTTTGCACACAAAAGATTATACAAGTGTCTAGAACAGGTCTGGAGAAAGTGCAGGGATATTAAGATTTTATTCTTTCCCGAGCCAGGAGCTCGGATGACACTGTACAAAGCACTAGTGGTGCTAGTGGATTTGGACTAGGGGTTAGAACTCTGCATGTATGTGTTGCTATAATTTGATGAAGATATATTTTCAGTTTGTATTAAAGTCACTGACGTGAAGCTTAAGAGTTTTTGTGATCAAATGATGTGTATGTGGAAACAGAAACAAGGCATTCTATGAAATGGGTATGAGGAAATTGATACAGAGGTCCTTGAGATACTGTAAAAGGAAAGCAAATACATGAGTTACAGGAGTCGCAGACCAGCCTCTGCAAAGAAGGGAATAAAGTCAACATCACACCTATAAAATGTCTTACCAAGAAACAGTCGTATTCTGCAGAAATGTATTAGCATGTTTTTAATTTGTAATCAAATTGCAAGGTGAGAATTTCCCTCTAGGGTATAGCAAAGAAAAAAAAAAAAAAAGATACAAACATTAGCAAATCCCCAGTAATTGTGCTAATACATAACTGTCAGTTACAAGGCATCTTTACCAGAAGGCAGGTTACAAAGCGTTCACATTCAGGTTGTTTAATTAGAACAAGTGATGGTTACAATAATTAGAATAATATTATTTTCCATGGGTGCTTGAATGAGTTCCCTGCTGATCTCTCACGGCTGCATCAACTCCTAGGAACCGGGAATAAAAATACAGGCTCTCCAGCTCCAAATGCTCAGTTTCTTAAAACCAGGGTATACCAAGTCTTACCTTTCTCTAGTTATGGGACTTGCAGTCCCCAGCGAACATGACAAGAGCAAATATGATGAGTCAATCAGTCAACACACAAAATAGAGCTACAGTCAGGAAAAGAAACAAACAGAACACGCCTGGCTGCTTTGGGATTAAAAGCATGTTCTTTCCTCCTACTGACCCATCCACTTACTCTCCCTCCCACCCAGACCCACATGATGCTGTGACGCGAGGACACGTATACGTGCTTATGTTTCTGCTTCCACAGTTTCATTATGTTACAGGACCTGTAGGCACATAAAAAGGCACCAGACAACTTTCAGGTATAATGGAATTGACAGCAAGCTGGAGAATAGAAGCCACACACACAACAGGAACAGAAGTTTTCAAGCTGTCAGAGGCACGGTGAAGGTCACTGTACCATACAGGAGTTTCTTTCATCCTCAGACAAGCAATCAAGTATGCTTTCCTGAAAAATCCTTAGAACACTGTTTCCCAAGTGTATTTGGAAATGCTCAACAGATGAAGGGGTGACATTTTTAACTCCCAAACTTGCTGTCTTCATTGTATGTAAAATCACTTCTGTGAGACGCCCAAGGTGTCCCAGTTATGTCACTCAGAATGAGTACTCATCTTTGAGTAAGGTGAACTCAAAATCTTAACATGTAAGATAAAGAGGTAAAGAATACTGCTACAAGATGTAGCCAGGAGTGAGTCACTAAGGCTAAAGATATTGTAGTGGAAACCAGAGTAATGTTCAAATTCACAGGGTCTGAAAAGAAACACAAATTATGACCAATCTCACTGTCTGCTCTTTCAATTAGATACAGTTGTTTCCTCTGTGATAGGTTATAGGAAAAAATTGGAGTTCAGCTAGCCAAAAACACTGACAGCAACAGAAAACTCAGACTCTGTGTTACATGAGCCTGCCTGATCTGCACAGAAACAGAGGTCCTTGAGAAAATGGAGCTTTTTATTTACTCCCAAGGAAATGATGATAGTCAGGACAAAGCTGGAAAGTGCAGCAAAGAAGGAGAAGGGCACCAGGAACAGTGTCTGTAAAGGCTGATTTAGTTTCCCATAGTTGGCATAACCACAGCAGGCTTTGTAACGGTGGCATCTTCCTCTTTCCATTGAGAAATTATAGTCTTCAGCTGTGTGTAGAACTGCACTCCCTGGAAGAAAGGAGAGCCAAAAGGGTCAGATGTTTGGCCTTATGAATTCTTGAGGTGTATCAAGCAGTTTTTTGCTGTGT